CCTATTACTGCGACCTTTTAATACAGTTCCTCATGTTGTGGTGACTCCCAACCATAAAATTATTTTCGTTGCTCCTTCATAACTGTAATTTTGCTACTGTTATGAATCGTAATGTAAATATCTGTTATGCGAAGCTCATAGTGCTTAAGACCAGTTGGAAAGGATGGGTGTTTGTCAAGGTGAATATTCAGTAAATAACAAATAATGTGTTTTCCATTCCGTAACTTTTGGGGATAAATTCCAATATAAGACAGAGTGATTTGAGAATTTTTAATATGGAATGCTGTTAACATTTGTTGTACAACAGAAACAGCGATATTTAATGTAGGCTTAATTTTATGTTCTTCCAATTTTAGGACTCTGATAGAGTCTGCATCTCTGCCTGTGATTGATTTATAAACTACTGTTGAGATGATAACTTAAAATTTCTATGGCAATATGTGCAGGTTTAATGATTCATATTTTAGTTGTATTCCATTAACTTAGAAGTGTCTGATTCATTATGAAGTACTCTTTCATGGTTGTAGCATTCTTTCTTAGTCTGAATCTTAAATGATGTTAATTGTGCTGAGCTATAGACTGAGATAAAATGTCCTTAAACTTAGGGTGGTAAATGGAAGATATGGTAGAATTTATATCTTTGCATACACTATAGAGGCTACTGTTTTTATAAGTGACTCTAGATGACCAATATTTATGGAAATTTAGTTGTAGCTTTTAGCTGTTTGCTCTGGTTTGGCTCACTTACTTTGTTGGGGGAATTATACTGCCTTTTTTTTTTAACTTCTTATGAGATTTTATTTTTTTTATTAAGTCATATACACATAGATCATGAATACATTTATGCATAATACTGCTTTATTCTTATTTGTCTCTAGTCTTAGACACAAAGCCTGAGATTTGGGACTATTATAATTTAGTAACAGTATACTTTAGTGTATTTCATATGTATTTTTGAATATGCTATTCATTAAAATAGGATATTAGTAGCTATCTTTTGTTTGCAGTTTTGGAAACGCCAGTTTAAATTTTTCTGTGGAAAGTAGCCCTCATGTTACATATAATGCTTGTAATTAAAAAAAATTAAAATGCAAATATTATTTGGTTGCTTATACCCTCACTTTAACTTGACATTAAAATACAGTAAAAACAATTTTTAAAGAGATAAGGTCTTGCTGTGTTGCCCAGGCTGGAGTGCAGTGGCTATTCACCAGCATGATCATAGTGAACTACAGCCTGGAACTCCTGGCCTCAAGAGATCCTTCTGCTTTAGCCCTGAGTGGCTGTGACTATAGGCGTGCACCATTGTGCCTGGCTTTGAATTGCATTTTCTATGAAGTGTTTTACAAGTTTATCTAAGTTTTGGCTTAATGAAACAGAAGACTGCCTGACAAATACAGGAAAGCTTTCACTATATAGTAAGTAGTATTTAGTCAGCCTTTGATGATGGAGATTAAAGCTTGTTTACTTCTGGAATAGTTCATGTAGGAAGAAAGAAGTAGAAGATAATAAGATTCCTTTTCTAGGACTGATGGCTACTCTCAGAAATTTTGCAGTAGAGTAAATTTTGTATAAGTGGTAGGCTAAGGAACAGGGAGTGAATGGCAGGTTCAATACAGCTTAGTATTTGGGCAACTATTATGTAGGGTATTTTTTATAATTTTGAAATGGTGTTGAAGAATGGGAAGTTAAAAAGGTGTTGTAAATGGGCTTTTAGTTTACTTGGTTATGTAATCAGGATCTCCATGATAAATTAGATCTAATGGGAGGATCCTTTGGGAATTGGTATAAGATATTGCAGAAATTAGAAACTCTTGGAAAAACTAATTTAAAAACTTGCCTATTTTTCAATTGGAAATTAAAGATAAGGAAAAATATTAGCTATGCTAGTTCTGTACTGTTTAAGCCTTGGACTGACCCGTATATGAGACTATTAGAAACCACAATATCAGTATCATATTTAGAAATTTAAATTACAGTTGAAAGATTATTTTATATTTTTAAGTTATTTTGAAAGCAGTTTTTGTGGTATGTGCACAAAGTGGAAAGTTGATACTGAGGACCTAAGAGGGGAAACAGAACTGAATAGAAGGATTCAGTAATGCTATTTCCTGAATCTGAGTTTTTAACAGCAGAGTTGAAAAGCTGATGTTTGGAGCGGTAGTGACCAGAATTTTACTAAATTGCTTAGTTAACTCAAATGAAAAATGTTCTAGCTTCATTTAGATGATCTAATTGAAGAATTAAGTTACTTGTGTTTTTATTGGTATCCTACTCAAGTCCAAAAGAGACCTCTGACCTCTAATATAGCTGTATTAATATTACTTTGCTTTTTACAAATTACAGATATTGGTAAACATTTTATGGAGCTATATTTTTTTTTTTGAAGAGAAATTGAGCTTTTTTTAAGAAGAGATTTTATAACTTTAACAGACTTACAAAATGGAAACATGGAAAAATTAAAAAAAAAAGAAATACTATCTATGTAGTATCTATTTTAGAGATTATAATTGGAGCTCCAGAAAAAATGGTAACTATTATTAATATCTAGAATTTAAAAATATTTGGGAAAATTAAACTTGCAGATTACCATTTTTTAGATTAATTTTTGGAAAATCATTGGATATTGCTTGGCTGTGAGATGGGAAGGGTGGGAGAAAGGTGGTAGACTTTAGGATTATAAAGTATATGATCATCCCACAAATACATCCTAATTACTTACCATGTGGTGAGAACTGTATAGAAATGCAAAAAGGACATGGCTCCATACAGAAATAACTCACAGTCCTCTTATATAACATGTTATTTGGTGGGAATCACATTAAAATGGTCAGATTAAGTTGACTTCTAATCCTGTATCTTGTGTTTCATACTAAAATTAATGAAAACTATGTTTTTACAAAGTTAGTAGTTTTGTTTTTTACCTATCTACATAGATAGATGTGTTCGGATCCAGATCTGTTTGATATGGCTTTACTTATTAATTCTGTATTTTTGTGGATTCTTACTTTAGTATGCCAAAGGAAACACAGAGATACATGTACCTCTGTAAAAACTCTAGTATCTAAAAACTTTATTTTCAGAATAGTCTAAAATGTGGTAGAAATCAAGTTTTTCTCCCCTGGAAAATGATCATATTCTTTGTGCTGTATGAAGTTCTAAGATATCCTTGGAAAATTATGTTTTAGTATCACCCAAATTGCATGATAAGATTAGAGTCAAAGAGTTTCAACTTGGAAACTTGAGAACCTCTTACTGTTTACACATGAACAAATATGGAAAATTTTTTCTTTGCTCCTTTACATAAATGGAAAGGAATGACTATTTTTGCCCTTCAAAAATATGAGGGAAAATGATTGGGAAATTTTGATCATACTCCTTTCTATAAACTAGCTTTGATTTCTTGATGCATGATCAAATACGTATGATTTTTCTTTATTCTCTCTGTATGTAACAAATCTCAGACCATCTAAAAGTAATTCTATTTGGGATAGAAGTTCTACCCTCTACTTAGAAACAGTGCCAGATCAGACACTTGTTTTGGGGGGGCAGGGGTATTAAGATATGAACAAAGAACTAACTATAAATACTATGTGCCAATTCACTGATACCCTACGGAAGTTTATTTAAGCGCAGGACTTTCTATCATTTGTTATTATTGTTATATCTGGAGTGGATCTTATTTTCTTAAACTACCAAGTAGTAATTCCTGTATCACATCTCTTGAATAAGATTACCTTAGGGCCCTTTGTCATCTGCTTCTTATGTAGCACATTTAAGGAGTTTATATCTCATTGGTTATCGTTGATGACCAGTGATCATTTTGACAGTTACGTGAAGAGGATGGCACAGTGAGTGCGTGGTCATGCACTGCATAACATTTCCATCAACAGTGCACAGTGACATAAGATTATGATCCTATATTTTTACTGTACCCTTTCTATATTTAGATGTACAAATACTATTATATTTCAGTGGTCTACAGTATTCAATATAGTAACACACTGGATAGGAGTATGTTATAGCCTAGGAGTGATAGGCTATACCATACAGCCTAGATGTGTAGTAGGTTATACCATGTAGGTTTGTGTAAGTATATACTACGATGGCAAAACACCGAAATTGCCTATCAGTGCATTTCTTCAAGTGTATCCCTGTTAAGTGATGTGTAACAGTACTGGTTTTGATAGGTTGGCTATGCTATGTAACTAAGCCAAATTGGACACTTTTGAGCGAAAAGGAATGATATTAATAATTACTTCAGAACAGCAGATATAAACCAAGACTGGTCTAGGCAAGCTAAGATACGTAATCATCCTAATTAGGATGATTGCAAGTAACAGAAAATACAACTCAAACTAGCTTAAACAATAAAGGAACTGTATTGGCTTATATATCTGAAAAGGCCAGTGTTTGGGAGTCCTACAGATGTGATTAAGTGAGGACTCTGAGTTATTCTGTTTTCCAGACTCTGCCTTCTATGGCTGGCTTCCTTTATAGTTGTTGGGTGACTGCCAACAGGAATCTGGGCTATATTCTTCATTTATGACCAGCAGGAGAGAGAATCCTGCTTCTCCCATACACATAGATTTGAGTCTTCAGGATTCGTGATTATTGGATACTTTTGAACTGATCTCTGTATCAAAGGGAATGTCTGTGCTGATCGTCTTAAGCATGAGATATCTGAATATCCCTGAGTAAAGGTGGATAGAATTACTTATTCTTAGACTGGTTTTAGTTCATTCAGGACACTGTAATGTTAGTCTATCTAGGAAAGTAGTACAACTGAATGAAGGGAAGTGGGTTAGGAAGCAACCACAGTGTTTACTGCAAAGTCCAGAGCTGTTTCTTGTTTGCATTTTCCCTCAGGCAACTGTTAATGGGTTCCTACAAGAGCCCAGTATACTGCAGGTGATATGTTTTTTTTGTTAAGTGAGAATATGTCATATAAAATGACTTACTAGCCTGGAAGTAGGAGAGAAAGAAAAAACTTTTATCATCCCATTTTTTTTTCTATTAAGACTATAATAATTGTTGACCTTCTTTTTTTTACAGACTAATAGGGATGCCAAAGGAAAAATATGATCCTCCAGATCCTCGCAGAATTTATACCATCATGTCAGCAGAGGAGGTAGCCAATGGGAAAAAATCTCACTGGGCAGAATTAGAAATCTCGGGTGAGTGGAGTCTAAAGTATTTAATTTGGGGTACAACAGCAATAATGAATAAGAGTCAAGTATTGCAATATTTATTTCTTTTTTGAACATTTTTAATTAGATGGGTTAACTGAAAAGATACAGGATTCTGAGGTACTAGTGTTTATCTGTTAATTTTATTGTGACAAAATCTTTGTACCCTTTTTTTTGAGATTACATTGAGTAAGAGTTGGCATCTGAAATTGAGAATATTAGGGGTTTGATTTCTGAGTAAGATTAGGTTCTTTGATATGATAGATTCTGTTTTGGCTACTCAGAACAATTATTTTTGGAAATTGAGATTTTTACTCCTATTCTCTCAGTTTTGGCAAAGAAGGAAACCTAGAAGCTGTCTGTCTATTCTAACTAATATGTAATAACTGGATTACTGGACCTTAATACATGTTTAGGATTGGTTAAAATAGAATATGATTTCTAAAAACTTATAACTCTAGTCTAGTGAGAAAAGCATCAGAGAAATGCAACTGAAGGACATTCAACAAAATATCTGACTAGTAATCTTCAAAATTGTCAAGATCATGTAAATCAAGGAAAGCCTTAGAAATTGTCACAGACCAGAGGAGACTAAGGAGACATGATAACTCAATGTAAAATGGTAGCTGGTATTGAATCCTGGAACAAAAAGTTGTAAAAACTGGTGAAATCCAAATGCAGTCTAGATTTAGTTAGTAGTGATGTATCAGTGCTGGTTTCCTAGTTTTGGCAAATATACCATGATGTAAGATTCTAACAGGGAAACTGAATGAAGGATATATGGGAATACTGTATTATCTTGGTAACTTTTCTATATCTAAAATTATTAGCCCTTTCAGCCGGAGATGCCATCTTCCAGTAATTCACCAAGATGACAAACACAAAGGGACAGAGGAGAAGCACTGGATACTTGTTCTCTAGGCCTTTTAGGAAACAGGGAGTTGTTCCTTTGGCCACATATATGTGAATCTACAAGAAATTGTAGACATTAAGACATTGAAGACATGAATGTAGACAATTGTAGACATGAATGGGTACTGTTCAAAAAGGCAGGCCACACAAATGTTACCATGGCAAAACTGGAA